GAAATGAAAGCACTGATAAACTGGTCTGCATGTGGGATTGTTTTTCTTTGTTTAACCTTTTCCTTTATTTTTTAACGATCTACTTGTTTATAAATGGCTTTATTTTGTGATTAACTTACTTTGGTTCTGGATTGCTGTATCAGAGTTCTGAATGTCTCCGGTTGTTTGCACACAGATAACTGCAAAGAGGTTGTCATTACTGGTTACACGCAAGCAGAAGCCAGATCTCTTTCTTAATGGCTTGGGGAAGGCACAAAACATGCAAGAAAGGTAAACGCCATCCAGACTTGCAATTTTAAGCTAGCAAGTGCTGCTTGGTACTGTAGTAATTTCTCTACTCCAGGGTTCTTCAGCATTTTCAGAGGCTTAGTACCAAGTAAAATTGCAAAGATTATTGGGGGCTTTTTCGTACCACTGTAAGAGGGGAGTAGTTCTCAAGTCGGGTTTTTGACCAGCCTTATACCTCTGGCTCATGAGCTTCAAAAATTTCTTCAGTCAATGTTTTTTGAGGTGCTTTGTCCTATATGTTGTTTGTCTGTCTGTTTTGCAACCTGTCTACTGTATTCTTCATCTGTCTCCATAAAGCACAGAGATACAGTTAAAATGCCCACCTCTTTTAAGGTTAACTAAGGACATTTTTCTCCTTTTCTCTTTTTTTCATATGGGCTCTACTTTTGCTTATAGATACTAATATATATATATATATTTCAAGTACAAGTTAGTGTCATCTAGACTAACTCATGTGAACACTCAAGATTTTTTGACTGGGATTTAGTAGTGGCTTTACAGTACTGACCGGTTGCGTATTGCATCAATCTTCCTCCTAGCAACCAGCATTCATTACAGTTTTGAAACTGTATCTCCTCTAATGGCTTTTTCATTCAATATTAGCCTCTGTTTATGCAACAGGACAAATGCAATGGCAGATTTGATGTTCTGGGCTGGTGAGGAAAAATGACCCTAAACGTAGAGTTTTAGAACTATATGGGGAAGACCATAAAAACCCAGATCTTAAGAGATCCTTGAGATTGTTGAATAATCCCTGATTGTCATGTTTTATTTTTTGTTAGGAAAATAAATATAACTTATTGTTGATGATGTAAGATGTTCTTCTGTACATAGCCTAGCCCAATAGCATGACCTGCATGTCAGAATTCTTGTACAATAATGTATTTAACAAAGTATACATTTCTGATATTTAGAGATGTACATTGATTTAGTTTTGGTAAAATACTGTCAATAGAGAGATAATTGCAAACAGCTTTTAGCAAAGGAATTAATATAATATCTGGTGCTGCTGTTATATTAACTACAGTGTTGTACAGAATTTATCATGGATTTTTGACTGCTGAAAAAGGGACAATGGAATTTAGCCATACCAAGGACTGTACTGGAAAGAGACTGCTGCTGTTGAATGGGCCCTGATAAACAACTCACGCCTTGAGGAGGTCACTGAGACTTTACATGGGAAGTAGAGCTTGTTAAAGAAGATTAAAGACTGCTCATAATTACTGCTGCCAGAGGAAGGGGTGACTAGTCACTGTTGATGAGTCAGCTGTAAATAAAACGTGTGTGCATGGAATATCAGTTTTTATCTATATCAAGGAAAGCTGAATTTAAGTCATCATCGCTAAAGCTCCATGCAAAGACCCTCACCCCTGTGTATATTCTTCCTGGTTCCTGCAGTAAGTTGTGCTGTGGATCATACAAAGACACACACTTAATAATGATAGTGATGTAAACTACATCTGTCTTGACTTCCGTCATAATAATGGTATATTTTGCAAAGGTCACAAATATGAACAGAGTAGGTTTGCGTTAATCCTTGCTTTCTCAGTTTGCCATGACCTATATTTATATGAATTCTAGTGTACATGCCAAGTCTTAAGTTTACTTTTCACTTTGATAACAGAAATGTGACTGCAGACAAACATCACTGACTTTGTTCACAGCACACAGTCTTCTTTCATTGTTACCTCAAACTATAAGTATTATGAGAAATAAAATTCTGGCAGCAAGACTATTTTGGGTTTGGTTCTTTTTAATTTTTAAGTGTTGCAAACCCAACATCAATAAGTATAAAAGATGTATTAAAATGATATCCTACAAATGTATATTTTACATAAAAGATATATTCTTTGATCAGTTACTTTCTGTGATTTTTGTGGTAAATGAATCTAGTCTATTCTATGTTTATGAGGAATTGTAGTGCTACGATGTGGTAATTATGTTCTCTCCATCCTATTCAGTGGGAAATTCTCCAGAGTTTGTTTTGTCACCCTGGTGTCCCGATTGTAGGGACCTGTCCCAGTTGTGAAACTCTGTATTGTGGAACTTCTGTGAACATGTCAAGGTGCATGCACAACCCTGGTGAAAACCAGTGGAAATGTAATACCTAAATTGGAGAATAAAAGGCAAAAGACCTGGGGAGGAACTTGGAACAAATCTTCTGAAGTGGCTCATGCGCTTTCTTTAGCTCTGTCGGTCCCCTGCCTGCCACTGGCCATCCCAACTCTCAAACCAGTTTCCTGGGGTACATGAGAAGCTGATTCAAAGATGACCATGAGCTGGCTTTTAAAACAATTTAGAAACTTCCTTCCTGTTAATGATCCTACGCCTCGTACAGGAGTTTTAATTGGGCTAGGTATTATCAGACTCAAGGCAGTATCATTGCCTTCATCCTAGTGTGAAGTCAACCTAAAAAGGAGGTGATAAATGATTGCTTAGAACTCCTAATCCAATACTGTATTTGGAGCAACCGGTGAGATCTTTGAATATGGGAGCGGAGTGTCTGAGAGGGGTGAGGGAATCTAGTACAGCTGTACACGTGATCTGAGAGGCTGTTAACCACAGTATTTTGGAAGAAGTGCTGGAATGTAAGAAAGATGACAGAAAACAGGATCAAGAGGTGTTCAAGTTTTGGTAAATGTGTTATAGAGTGACATACTATGAAAGCTCAATGTGCTGAGTTCGCCCAAAATTTGAAAACTGTCTGTACTGTGACCTTGGAGCAGTACCCACATGAAGAAGAGGTGTAGTGGTTAGCCAGGACAAGGCTCACATCCAGCTCCAGTCGCTCATGTCTGATGTCTGACGTCTGCCCCCAAGCACCCAGAGAGAGGTGCCACACGGGGACTGTGAGGAGCTCCAGATGCAGACAAGGTGGTACATTGTGTTGGTCAAGACTGTAGAAAACACTGATGGCCAGATGGTGTCTGACATCTTGTGTTGTCTCTGGATGGTAAGGAGCTTAAGCATGGATGTACCTCCACTGACATAAGACGTTGAGTCCAGAGAACCAAGCCCATATTTAAATCCTTTCTTTTAAAATTCACCTGGAGGACAAGCTGATGTTGAGTCCATTAACTGTTCATGTGTCTTAGGACTACAACCCAAATCTGACTGTAATAATAAGAATTGGCTTAACCATCAACCCTCAGAGACTACCCCACTCCTGTTCTTCCCCTGTTTCTGGACCCAAAAAGGGGTGAAAGTGCATTTTCATGGGAGGCAGGCTGTCAAGGTTGAACTTTCTTGGTCTGAGGAGGGCTTTGAATCTAGACTTCATTACAGGAAGTAATGTTCCTTACAGGAAGATGCTATGTGACTGTCATTAGCCTGTGGATCAAATACTCAGCAAGGAGCAGTTGTAGAGATTTTTTGGGCCTTCTTTAAGAATCCAAAACCTTATTTAATCCTTGTATAAGTAAGACTTGAGGATTAGAAGGCAAAACTAGATAAACAAGCAATGAGTTTAGAAGCGATGCATCCGTTAAGATAATTTACCAAAGGCTGTTACTTGTTTGCCTTTTAAAGTTGTAAAGTCAAAATGTCAAAAATTAGCATCTTTTTGAAAGACAGGTACACTAATGCAACAGCAGTGTTGGTGCAGAGATCAAAAGCTGTGAAATATTGTAGAAACGAGCAGATTATGAGACCTTCAGACTTTGAATGCAGTTGTTGTTCATATGGGGCCTCATTTTGCATTGAGAAAACATTGCTGTTCCAGTGAATGTTGAGGCGCTGTATTACAAGTGCTATAGGTGTGTACTGTAAACTGGTGCCAGAATTGCTAAGAAGCGTACAGTTAATGATAACTAATATCATGCTGTGTGTCAGGAGACTTTTTCATGTGTGAAACAATTATTTTTCCTAAAAGTTTTCTTACAAAAGGTCTGGATTAAATTAAAACTGCTAAAAGAGAAGGAAATTTAAAGAAGCCTCTGTTAATATGGGTTACTGAAAACTAGAGGGGGAAGGGACCAATAAGCATAAGCAAACTTACCAGCATATTTAGTGCGAAGATATGAACTTTAAAAGTCATGAATGAATTAAACTATATGAAAGAGGAGGGCATTTTATCATCAGAATAAATTGTGCAGAAGTCAGATAAAGGAAAGCAGTGGCTTGAACAATTCTGTAATAGAGCCTTTGAATACTGAGTGAGAAGAAATTACAAAAAAACCCAAAGGTTTCTATCAGGTTAAAGTTATCAGAAATATTAATTTTTTTATAATATATTATTTTACATTTGGAAATACTTGTTATTTATTTAATTTATAAAGAGACAAGTTATTTAAAAAAGGTGGTTTTTAAAGTTGAGAGTTGGCTCATGAGCAAATACTGAGATCTTAGTGTTGGGTGCTGGGTGACCTACCTGCATTGCCCTCCTACTTAACTGAATATCCCTGGGACATGTTGAAGTGACAGAGACATCTGATTCCTGGCCCCAGAGATGCAGGTCTGTCACACACGAGCTCCACAGTGCACTCCAGCCAGTTGTGGGCAGTGCAGAGCTCCCACCTGTGGAGCAGCCTTAGCCACGGTCTACATGCAGCTTCTCATCCCCTTCTGCCCCAAACCATGTGCTTCCCCCATCCTCTGCAACCTCCTCCCCAAAACTCAGCCTTCTGTCACTTGCATTTTTTTTCATGAGCATGTTGACGAACAGCTGACAGATTTCAGATTCATACTTTCACAGCTTCATATTCACAGATGGCAATATTCTTGCATATTTAAAAAAATAAATTGGAGGTGGACATTTTTTGAAAATTTGGCACCAAAATGTTATGCATTTCATTTAACATCTCCTGTATTATTTGCAGGTGGAAGACTGGAGATCAGTTTAAAACCAGGACCACAGCTAGGCTATACTTTCAAAGACGTGTTCATTTTACATTCTGCTTCTGGTTAGAGCATTGCTGTATTTTATTATCACGTGAGGCTCTCAGTTTTCTCCCCAAATTGGATTTGGGATAAGCTGCTAGGGCGAGTCAAAGAATACTATTTTAAGTTAAAAATTTTCTCTACAGAATGTTTGTGACTCTTGTAGGACTGTAAACACTAATTATAATATGAAGAAAAAGATATTGCTTGGGAAATACTGAGGCTGTAATAGATGGCTGTAATCCATCTTTGTCTTGCAGAGTGGTACAGGCTCCCTTTCTTTAAAATAGAGAAAGCAGACAATTTTTTTCTTGGCCAACTCAGAGCATCATTAGACCTCCATAAGAGAGTGAACTACCAAAAGAAGAGAAGTAGAATTTGTTTCCCTTGACCTTTAGTCAGCTTATTTGCAAAAGCAGCACAATCAGACTTATTTAAGAAGCTTGGACTTTGCAGGGAAACAATGCAAAACTCCATCAGTCTGAAGAATAGTAAACCATAGCCACATTATCCTATTAGGCTGATGCTAAATATAGAATGGATTTTCAGTTTCTTACAGGGATTTCCTTGCTTTGTGGCTAAATACAGCACAGGGGTTTTATGAAAATCTTATTTTCTTCATGCCTATGAACGTTATTTGTGAAATGCGGTGTTTGGCACTCTCTGAAGTCTTTAAATAATGCCGTTGTTTAGTAGCGCTTTTTGTATTCTGCAGCATGAAAAGTCAGGTTTCTTCTGAACTGGAACACTGGCAAAGGGGGTAGAGGAAGCACTGAAGGACATGGTTTTCTTGAACTTCTATGGGATCTGTAACTGTGACCACACAGAAATAAAAATACGCCGCTTTCCCTATGTCAGTGTCTTGACACTGACTGTAACTTTTCCAGCTCTGAAACTTCTCTTCCTAGCCTTGCTTGGAAATCACAGCAACAAAATTTATTTAGATGCTGCTGTTTCTAGCCTCTACTTAACCCTTGATAGGTTTGCTTTATATCTGTGAACAGTGGAGCAGTTACAGAGCTTAACAGCACTAGGACTGAGCTCAGAGAAGACCTTACGCACGAACATAATAGGTCTCTGTGTAATTAGTGCAGAGTTATCTCAGTACAGGACATTATCTGAACAAGTTCCCAGCATGCAGTGGCCTTGCTGAAATGAATGGTAAAACTGGACTAGGCTTACTTAAGCAAGATCAGGTCTTGGGAAGCAATTGGTTTTTATCATGGACATTTCCAGGACATTTATCACCAATATCTTAGTATTCAAATATATTTCAGCTGAAAAAAGATATTATTATTACTATTATTGCTATTATTGCTATTATTGCTATTATTGCTATTATTGCTATTACGATGATGATGATGATGATGATTATTATTATTATTATTATTAAAGATGTGATTTATCTCAGTGGTCACCAATTCTGGTTTGAGTACAGGTAGCCATTAGGATAGCAGCTTCAGCTTTTATCTGTCCCTTGTTTCCGTTTTCTCCATCCTCCACCGGCTGCTGCAGTTGCAGCAGAATGACCCATGCAAGTGTCAGGAGCTTCATGCTGCAGCTGGAAGGTCCAACCTCCCCCTTCCCAGTGCAGGGATGAGGAAGAGAAGGCGATTGTCACCTCTGCACCCAACTCACCTGTGGGGTGTGCGGCAACACCTCTGTCCCCTGCATGCTTGGTGTCCACTCCAAGCAAACTCTTCTTTCTCCAGAGCAGAAGACGATAGATGAAGCACCTCGAGAAACTTATTTATACCCATCTCTTAGATACTCCTCTTTCAGTAAGGATCAAATTGATCTCTGTGAGTACAGTGTTCATTTCATGAACCTTT